TCAACTATTTTTCTTTTCAAGGCTGTTTTGTGTTAGTATTGGTTTGCTATTGCTGCAATAACGAAGTACTACATATTGAGCAGCTTCAGCAACACAAACTCATTTTCTCATAGTTCTGAATATCAGAATTCTCAATAGGTCTTTTAGGACAAAATCAAGGCCATAACGTGTCTGCATTCCCTTCTGAAGGCTTCAAGGCGAATCCATTTCATGTCTTTCAGATTCTTAGTAGAAATGCTATATACTTGTATATACACAGATTACCAGATAGATGTATGTATTAGTTTTTTGAATGTACTGTTTGACTTCTTTTTATTCACAGTAGCATCTCATCTTCTCCATTTGGGGTTCATTATTCCACTCCTGATTTACATCTTTAGTATTGCTTTCCAGAAAAGGTACAGATGAAACATATCTGCAGGCTTGCAACTTTTTCCAGTGATGCCTGGCTCTGTCTCTCTCTCTCTCTCTCTGTGTCTCCTTCTCCCTCTCTCTCTCTCTGTCTGTCTCAATCTCTCTTTCTCTCTGTTATTATCGTAGTACCTGATAAAGAGACACTGAAAACGCCCTCCTTATTCCTCATAAGACCACACTTCAACCTGACAACTCAAATGTCCCAAGTCTCCTTGTGTTTTTAAGATTTATCCATATTTGACTCTGAAACTTAGTCCTTTAATAATAACAAAGGCTGATTGCAGTGAGCCAGATCGCACCATTGCTGGCCTGGACAACAAAAACAAAATTCCATCTCAAAAAAAAAATAATAATAATAATAATAATAAATAATAATACTTATAATAGTAATAACTAGCCCCAGCACAGAACTCTCACAATTACAGCCCTTCTGGTTTGTTTCTCCTGTATCTTCTGGGGCTGCTGTTTGCTCTTACAAGACTCCGATCCCAATGAGCTTTCATTCATTCAAGGGTCATTTACATTTTCTCTCTAGTGATTTAGGATTTATTTTAAATTGATGCCTCATGTTCACTTTACCATGACCGAGATATTAAATTTGAATTTATAAACTGATGTTTTCTCTTCAGTTCTATAAAAACTTCAACCATTAGTTCTTCATGCATGTGCTTGAACTAACATCCTTCTCCTTCTTTCATTCTGAAACCCGGACAGACGTTCTTTCTTCTCATTCAGCTTCCTGCATATATTAATATTTTCTATTGTTTAATTTCTGTTCTTTCCATGACACAGTATGGAAAATTTAAAGACATTTTATGCTAATGTGTATATTTTTCTTCAGCTGTCTTATCTGATTAAATTATGTTTTTGATTTTGTTATGTTCGCATAGTAGGTATATACGGCTAGTAAATTACTTTGTTTGTTTTTTTGAGACACAGTTGCTTTTCTTTTTTGAGACAGGTTTCACTTTTTGCAGACAGTCTCGCTCTGTCGCCCAGGCTGGAGTGCAGTATGGTGCAATCTCTCGGCTGCAAGCTCCGCCTTCCGGGTTCACACCATTCTCCTGCCTCAGCCTCCCGAGTAGCTGGTAGGCTGAGGGCCGCCTGACCCGGCTAATTTTTGTATTTTTAGTAGAGACAGGGTTTCACTGTATTAGCCAGGATGGTCTCTATCTCCTGACCTCGTGATCCACCCGCCTCAACCTCCCAATATGCTGGAATTACAGGTGTGAGCACAGTGTGAGCACCGCGCCTGGCCCGACAGTTTCACTCTGCCCATCCTAGCTAAAGTGCTTTAGCATGATCTCAGCACACTGCAACCTCCACCTCCCAGGTTCAGAGATCTCACCCTCAGCCTCCCGAATAGCTGGGATTACAGGCACTCCCACCACCATGCCTAGATAATTTTTGTATTTTTTTTTTAGAGATGGGGTTTCACTGTGCCTTGCGGTGGCTCAAGCCTGTAATCCCAGCACGCCTGGGAGCCGACATGGGCGGATCACGAGGTCAGGAGATCGAGACCATCCTGGCTAACGGTGAAACCCCGTCTCTACTAAAAATACAAAAAACTAGCCAGGCAAGGTGGCGGGCGCCTGTAGTCCCAGCTGCTCGGGAGGCTGAGGCAGGAGAATGCGTGGCGCGGGTGGGCGGAGCTGGAGCTTGCAGTGAGCTGAGATCCCACCACTGCACTCCCAGCCTGGCGACAAGTAACACTCATTCTCAAAAAAAAAAAAAAAAAAAAAAAAGAGATGGGGTTTCACCATGTTAACCAGGCTGGTCTTGAACTCCTAGCCTCAAGTGATCTGCCATATCCTCCCAAAGTGCTGGGATTACAGGCACAGGCTACGCCCAGACATACTAAAATTCCTTTTTAATGGTGTTAATTTAATATAGTTTTTCACCTTCACAATGTCTACCTAATGCATTTCGACAACTTTCCTCATATGGTTGTCATTCCTGTCAGAGCAGCCCTCCTCCACCGCACCTGGCCTTTCCTGAGGTTTCTCCCAGGAGCTGTCAGGCATCAGCCTGATGAAGGATTATTGCCTCTGCTCCTGCCTCACTCTCAAACCCAACGTCAGCTCAGATTGTCACCCCGGCAGGAGATGGGACCACGCAGCCTCACACACTCACCTGTGGGGCAGACCTTATATCTGAGCACCGTGGACTGAATCTGTTTCTCACACACGGGAGGGCTGATAGCTGACTGTGGACTCCAGTGGTGAGCAGAGGCCCCCAGCGCCTGTCCACACCGGGAGGGGGCCCAGCTTCAGCCCCGCGACCCTGGCCCCTCCTGCCTGGGAGGACCGGGGATTCCTCTTCTGTCCCACACGGAGGTGGGAACCTCCACCCTAATGACCCTGGGTGGTCCCAGACACCTGCCGTGGCCACTCAGCTCATTCTATTCATTGATGGGGACGCGTCTCAATGATGGGAACTTTTCTTTCTCTTTCTGTGCCTTTGTGGCTGTGGTGGTCTGCATATTTGGACATATCTGAGAGCACTTCTTATTATTTGCAGCCGATGTCAGCTCTTGAGTGGGGGCATCAATCATCCTCCTGGACTGTGGGCCCCCGCCACCAGGATCCTCTCCGTCCCACCCTCCGGTCTGAACAGGTCTGGAAATTCCTGCGGCTGAGCCTCCGTGTCCTAGGCACCACTGACCCGCGCCTTTAGCCACTGTGATGAGTGGGAGTTCATGACAACAGGCTCAGAGGAGTGACGTGTATCCAAGGTCACATAAACCCTGGATGATACTCAGGAATTAATAATAATAATTATTATAAATAATAGTAAATAATTATTATAAATAATAATTAATAATCAGCTCCCCAACCCCAGAATCAGATTACAGATTACAGTAAACATATATATATAATTTCTCTTTATCCCTCTATTTCTCCTTTTCAGACAGGATCTTGCTGTCGCCCGGCTGGAATGCCGAGGGGTGACCACAGCTCCCTGCAGCCTCCGCCTCCCGGGCCCGAGTGATCCTCCCACCTCAGCCTCCTGAGTAGCAGGGACCACAGGCATGAGCCTCCATGCCCAACTCACTTTTTTCTTTTCTGTGGAGACAGGGTCGCAGTATGTTGCCCAGGACTGTCACAGGCTCACCTGGCCTCAAGCCGTCACCACGCCTCAGCCTCCTGAAGTGCTGGGATTCAGGCCTGAGCCACCACAGTAGACCCCAGCATTTCTCCTGTGTGCTCACTGCCACGCCATCAGCCTGGGCTGCGGCCCAGTGTCAGTTGCGTGTCTGCCGGACCTGGGTCTGCCTGCAGCATGGAACCTGCATCTTCCCTGAAGCATCTCGGGAGCTGGAGAGGCGACTGCCATGGTAAGGACCCCGCAATGCTGAGCCGATGGACGGGCTGAAGGAGGGAGGAGACCCCATGGGGAGGCTCTGAGAGGGAAGGAGCCCTTAGTCGCCCTCACCTGAAAAGAGCTGACTGAGAAGTCACGAGGTCTATTTGCTACTGTGTCACCAGCCTCAGTGAGATAAAGATAAATCAGGCAGACAGTAGCCCGGGGGCGAGACCCCATTTCTCTCTGAAATGTCTGCAGAGAGCCTGGTGCCCGCCCCCACCTCAGCCTGGGGAAATGAGAGCCAGGCTCGGGAGAGGGCAGTTCCCCTTCCTGTGGGCTGAGGATGAGACAATCCCATGACAAAGGACCAGCCTCCGGCGGCCACACCTGTGTGTCTCTGTCCTGCCAGCACCGAGGTTCATCCATCTGCAGAGCCCGGGCCACTGGGAGGAGGCGCACTGACCCCCGCCCTCACAGCCCCTGCTCTGCCTCGGTGAGAGATTTCCAGATGGGGAGGAGATCCAGTCACCAGAGGACCCCACCCACGGCCCTGGTCCATCAGGAGACCTCAAAAGGCTCAGGCACACCAGGGCAGGCACCAGGAGTCTGCTCAGGCTTCAGGGGCAAATCCTTCACTACAGAACTCTCTTCCAGGGCTGAGTCATTTAGGACCCACGTGCAGGCAAGTGAGTCTATCCCCAGTTGTCCCCCAGGTCCCTCCTCCCTCACTGAGGACAGGGGAGCACACGCTGGGCAGCTGGGGAGGCTGTGGTCCTGGGTGGCTGATGGCGATGGCGGGAGTCCTGGGCAGGAGCTGGGATCTGAGGCTGAGACGTCTTGGGATCAGCCTCTGATTTCCTTCCAGAGGCCCCTCCCCAAACCCACCCTCTGGGCTGGGCAGAGCTAGATCATCTGGGAAGCCCCGTGACCATCTGAGTGTCGGGGGGACCCTGGAGGCCAAAATTACCGACTGGATAAAGAGAGCACAGTGCCATGGAGCACAGAACCTGGTGGAGCCCAGGAACAGAAATGGGTCTCCATCCCATCCATGACAGAGCACCAGGCAGGAGACGCTGTAACTATGTCGTGGCTGAGTCAAGACCAGCCCCTGGAGCTGAGTGGTGACAGGTGAGAGGAGACACTCAGAGTCCCAGCCCCAGAGCTCTGTCCTCAGGAAGGGGTCAGCTCTCAGAGCGTCTCCCTCTCACAGCCCAGCCCTGGGGATGCTGCGGGAGGTGAGCCGTCGCTCAGGTGCCTCCTTCTCTCTCTGAGCTGCCTTGACCCCACCTCTCAGCCCTGCCCGGCCCTGTGGTGGCCTCCAGGAGGAGCATTGACCCTCGATGTGGTTCACCGAAGGGATATCAGCATTTTGTTCTGATTGAGGAAGGAGAACACAGGCTCCCCCGGACCCTGGACTCACAGCAGCTCCACAGTGGGTGGTACCAGGCCCTGTTCCCTGTGGGCCCGTGACCCCCAGCCACAGGTGGGCATTCCAGATGCTATTACTATTATAAGAACACCCCCCAGGTGTGGTCCCACCCCAGTGACCCCCTGGAGATTCTGGCCTCAGGTGAGGGACCACGGCCTTCTCTAATCCGCACTTTCGGGGCAGCTGACAGGCTGTGGGAGTTTGTACGGTGACTGACTCTGGAAAGGACCCAGAGTGATGTGTAGTGGACGGGCTGCAGGCGTGAGGAGACCCCATGGGAGGCTCTGACATGGGAGGAGGAGGCCTCGGCCACACCGTCACCTGGAAGGGAGGACTCAGAAGGCACCGGTGTGTTTGCTGTGAGTCCCGGCTCCCAGGGAGGAAAGATCAGGCACAGGGGCCAAGGCTAGAGACCCCACTCTATAAATGACTTTCAAGATAGCCACGGGGTGAGAAGGAGGCCCTGGGGTCAGAGACTCAGAATGAGAGACAGTGAGACCTGCCAGGGCCAGGACAGGGGGAAGGAAGGGCGTGGGAGGAACCAGCTCTCTGAGTCCCGGCTCCTCTTTCCCTCCAGGCGTGTCTAGGAAGCCCTCCCTCCTGACCCTGCAGAGCCCTGTCGTGGCCCTGGAGGGCCTGACCCTGCAGTGTGGCTCTAGCATCGGCTCACGACAGATTTGCTCTGTACAAGGAGGGAAACGTGACTTCCTCCAGTGCCTGGGCTCGCTCCAGGCTGGGCTTTTGAGCCAACTTCACCTGGGCCCTGTGGCCGCTCCACACGGGGGCCAGTACAGATGCTACAGTGCACACAACCTCTCCTCCAAGTGGTGGCTGGCGATCCCCTGGACATCCTGATCTCAAGTGGGAGCCCAGGTTCAGTCAGGGACCCAGGCTCTGCACAGGCCTGCCGGCGAGCCAAGGTGGTGATGGCGGGATGAGGGTAGAGGCACCAATGGAGGGAGAGACAGACAGAGACAGGGGATAGGGGAAGGGGAGACTCAGAGAAAACAGAGATCAGAGAGACTAAGGTTCCAGAGAGAGGCCTGAGAGGTCTCAGCTCGAGGTCAGGTGGACCCACTCTTTGTCTCTTCTCCAGGACAGGTCTATGATGGTGCATCCCTCTGGTACAGCAGGACCCCCAGTGACTAGGAGAAGGCAGGCCTGCATATTCTCAGTCATGGCGGCAGTTGCTCCTTCCCAAATGGGAGGAGGCAGCCAGCCTACGTGTCAGATCTAAGCGACATGAAATGCATTTCAGGCTGAAATTGTGGGTCTGTGACCTCAGGTCCACACAGGACTTACAGACCACTACAGCTCACGCTCCCAGCCCACACCTGCTCTCTGCAGACCCCCTGGGCTACGTGGTCTCAGGTGAGGGCCTAGTCCTGTCCCCTCTGAGCTCGAGCCAGCTCGGCCCGGCCCCAGAGATCTCAGCTGGGAGGGGGAGTAGAGGAGGCTTAGCCAGAGGCCCAGCCCTCAGAGGAGAGGCCAGCAGGGGTTCTCCTGAGCATGGCCACCCGTTCTCCTTGCCTGGCATGCAGAGGTACCAGGTGGGCAGAGAAATGTGGTTCCTGAGGATCCACTGGGCAGATGCAGGAGAGTGGAGTGAGGTGCACTCCATGGGCGACTGATCCCTCACCCGCCTCCGTGCTCCTCGCAGGACCATCACGGAAACCAGCCTCCACACCCACAGGGCCGCTCCACAGCTGGTGAGTCACTGAGGCCTCTTGGGAGAGCGCAGCCTCCCCAGGGCAGTCTGGAGTCTCCCGAAGGACCCCATTCCCCTCACTCAGGACAGGCTTGTGTCCCAGGGACCTCAGGCTGGGCTGCTTTGAGGAGTGGGGGTTCAGGAGCAGAGGAGGTGTTGGGGCCCAGCTTGGGGAAGGAGGAGCCAGGCTGATATGGGGGGCAGGGCAGCCCCAGCCCTCACCTCTCTGTCCTGACCCAGAAGGCCTTGAGGACCAGCCCCTCAACTCCTCAGGGTCAGGCCTCCAGGTGGTGAGTGGGGCTCTGAGAGGAAGGTGGGCAGGGTCCCGGGAGGCAGGGGTGGCTTCTGTCCTAGGTTCAGGCCCCTCTGGAATGGTGACGTGGACAGGCCCCTCCCTGCCTGGGCCTCAGTTTACTCAGGTGTAAAGAAAGAAGCCTGCGGGTGGGAACGTTCTTTCAGCTCTGACTCCCAACTGTGACCTCCTGGGAGAGGAGGCCTCCCCAGGGAAGCCTCCCAGACCCGATTCCGCGGGAGCCTGTCCTGTCCCACCTGCAGCAGTGACGGTGACCTGGGGCAGGGGAACGGCGCGCCGTGGTTCAGGACGGTCAGGCTCTTTCCAGGGCTCAGCTCTGGTGCTGGGAACAAGGGCTGCGGGTCAGACTCCCAGGTTCCCTTCCCAGCTCTGCCACTTCCTGGCTGGGGGTCCTGGGGCAGGCGGTCCCCTCTCTGAGCCTCTCAGTTTGGCCCATCTATGAAATGGGTTGTAGAGCGGCAATTCCATGTTGCACAACTGCTTGTAAGGGTTGGAAGTCTTGAAGGAAAGAGACCACAGCACGCGCCTGCACACAGTAGGTGCTCACATCAATGACGTCATTCCCACTCCTGTTATCATGCTCAAGGTCTGGGGGAGAGATACCTGGAGGCTTTGATTGGGGTCTCGTGGCCCTTCATCCTGCTCTTCCTCCTCCCTCTTCTCGTCCTCAGCGTCAACGTCAAACAAACCTGAATGCTCGGGTGAGCAGGGAAGTGGGGACCCATGGGCCGACGGAGGGTGTACCAGCCAGAGGAACCCAAACACACAGGGATGTCAGTTTGAAAACCAGTTCCAGGGGAAGCGTAATGTCAGCACGCATTTACAAACTTCAGTATTCATGGAGTTTTTTCTATATCATAAAATATTTGAAACATGATGCAGGAATATTTTGGTTTCTTTTCCCCTCAAGTTGCATGTGTAGAATGGGGGTTCTAATGTTCCCAGGGCTGAGACTCTGTCCATCTTCACCCAGACCAGAGGAAGACTGATTTCAGCGTCCTGCAGGGGCTGCGGAGCAAGTCAAGGACAGAGTGTGCTGAGAGGTAATTCTGCCTGAGACCCCAGACTCCCACCACAGCCCATATACTGCCCCTCACACTCCGTGTCCTTCCCCAGGGCCAGCACAGCTGCTGACGTCAGGAAAGCAAGTCTCTGTAAAGAAGAGAAAGACAAGGGACAAATGGGGTGCTGGGGAGACAAAATTTCAGTAGCAACAGGGAGGGGGCTGGGAAGGGTCTGGGGCTCCATGGAAGATGGTCGCCCCACTGTGGGACCTCCCTGGATCTCAGTGGCCTAGTGGAGCTGGGCAGGGCCAGCCAGGACTCAGAAGGTCTCAGGGATCCTTCCCCCGGGAGACAAACCCCTTGCTCTGTCCCTGCAGATGCTGCCGTGAAGGACACACAGCCTGAGGATGGGGTGGAGCTGGAAAGTCAGGTGAGACCCGCCCTATCCCAGGCACCAAAGGCCTCCTGGTGCCAGATCTAATCCTGCCCAGGACTTCTCATCCTCCTTTCCGGTTCTCAAGCATCATCGGTGGACCCTCCTTGTCCAGCACGCTGCCTCCTGCCTGCTGTGACCTCACTCTCTCCTGCTGTCCTGGGACCTCGAGGGCCTCCTCCCGGGTCCCCTTCCCGCTCCTCCTCCTCTGTTTGGCCGTCTGGTGGTTAGGCGCTCCCCAGGCCTCAGGAGGATGGGAATGAATGTTTCACCCTGCTCCCTGGGCTCCCTTCATTCATTCATCAGCGAGTGTTCCCAGGGAGCTCACTGTGAATCGGGCTCCCGTGGGAGCTGCCCAGACACAGCAGGGAGCAAGCCACCCCGCCTCCGGGCTCACCTCATGGTGGGAGACAAAATGCAAATAAATGCACCATGTGCAGGGTGCAACGTGCTGTAAGAAACATAAACCAGAAGAAAGAGGGCAGAGTGTGGGGCAGTGGGGCCAGTCTGAGATATGAGGGCTGTCTGCTCAGCTGTCATCTGAGAAGCTTGGACAGAGGCCACAGGATCCTCTAATGGGCGAGCCCCTGCAGGTAGAGCAACAGCCGTGCAGGTCCACAGGCAGCAGCGAGCTCTTGCAGGCGGGCATTAGGCTGCAGCCAAATGGGCACTGCAGCCAAATGGGCAAGGTCAGAGTGAGGAGGAGAGGCCAGAACCGCAGGGAGGGAGCGGCCAGACCCTCCACGCCCTTAGGGCATCCCTGAGATTCTATCAGGAAAGAGATATAATCGGATCACCCTGGGAACAGTGAAGAAAATTGACTCCAGGGGGTCAGGGGGATTCAAGGACACCCCCCACCAGTGTCTCTCTCCAGCAGAGCCCACACGATGAAGACCCCCAGGCAGTGACACATGCCCAGGTGAAACACTCCAGACTCAGGCGGGGAGTGGCCTCTCCTCCCTCCCCACTGTCCGAGGAATTTCTGGACACAAAGGACGCACAGGCGGAAGAGGACAGGCAGATGCACACTCAGGCTGGTCCTTTCCTCTCCAGGCCCCCAGGCCTCCCCCACCCCAGCACGTTCCTTCCCTCTCACTCTCCCCTACTGCAGGCTGCTGCATCTGAAGCCCCCCAGGATGTGACCTACGCCCAGCTGCAGAGCTTGACCCTCAGACGGGAGGCAACTGAGCCTCCTCCAACCCAGGAAGGGGAACCTCCCGCTGAGCCCAGCGTCTACGCCACCCTGGCCATCCACTAACCCGGAGGGGACCCAGACCCCACACTCAGCAGAAGGAGACTCAGGACTGCTGAAGGCACGGGAGCTGCCCCCAGTGGACACCAATGAACCTCAGACAGCCTGGACCCCTAACACAGACCACGAGGAGACACTGGGAACTTGTGGGACTCACCTGACTCAAAGATGACTAATATCATCGCATTTTGGAAATAAAGCAACAGACTTCTCAATAATCAATGAGTTAATAAGAAAAAAAAAAAAACAGACATAAAGGCCAGGTGTGGCACTCGGGAGGCTGAGTCGGGAGGATTCCTTGAACACAAGAGGTTCAGGCTGCCGAGGCTGCAGTGAGCTATGACTGTGCCACTGCACTCCAGCCTGTGTGACAGAGGGAGACAAAAAAAAAAGAGTGAGTGAATGTTTTAAATTCAATGATAATGTCAATATTACACATCGAACTTATGAAATGGGAAAATTAAGAAGCATAGCCAGGTGCAGTGGCTCACGTCTGTAATCCCAATACTTTGGGAGGGTAAGTGGGGAGGGTGGCTTGAGCTCGGGAGTTCGAGTCAGTCTGAACAGCATAGTGAGACCCCATCTCCACAAAAAATAAAACTAGTTCGGCATGGTGGCACACGCCTGTAGTCCCAGCTACTTGAGAGGCTGAGGCGGGAGAATCACTTTGGGCACAGGAGGTCGAGGCTGCAGTGAGCCAAGATGGTACCACAGCACTTCAGCCTGAGCAACAGTGAGACCCTGTCTCAAAAAAAATAAACCAAAACAATTAAAAGGCCAGTGAAATTACCTGTTGATTAGTGTTTGCATAATACATTTTTCATCCGTCTGCTTTTTTAATGTGATAAAATATAAACAACAGGCCGGGCGCGGTGGCTCACACCTGTAATCCCAGCACTTTGGGAGGCTGAGGAGGGTGGATCACAAGGTCAGGAGTTCAGGACTAGTCTGGCCAAGATGGTGAAACCCCGTCTCTACTAAAAATACAAAAATTAGCCCGGTGTGGTGGCAGGCGCCTGTAATCCCAGCTACTCGGGATGCTGAGGCAGACAATTGCTTGAACCCAGGAGGCAGAGGTTGTAGTGAGCCAAGATCATACCATTGCACTCCAGCCTGAGCAACAAGAGCAAAACTCCATCTCAAAAAAAAATCCAATCTTGTAATCTCTTTTAGATCACTTATATTTAATGTAATCACTGATGGCATTATAATCATGTGTCACTGAATGACAGGGATATGTTCTGAGAATCCATCATTAAAAAATTTTGGCTGGGCATGATGGCTCACTCCTGTAATCCCAGAACTTTGGGAGGCCAAGATGGGTGGATCACCAGAGGTCAGGAGTTCGAGACCAGCCTGTTCAACATGGTGAAACCCTGTCTCTACTAAAAATACAAAAATTAGCCAGGCATCGTGGTGCACACTTGTAATCCCAGCTACTTGGGAAGCTGAGGCAGGAGAACCTGGGAGGCGGAGGTTGCAGTGAGCCAAAATCGTGCCATTTCACTCCAGCCTGGGAGACAGAGTGAGACTCCATCTCAAAAAAAAAAAAAAAAATTCACTATTGTGTGAACATCATAGAGTGTACTTACACTTACACAAATCTACGTGGTATAACCTACTACATACATAGGCTATACCATCACATACGCAATGTGTAGCGGATCGAAACATCGTTCTGCAGCACCTGACTGTGCTCAGGCTTGCCTTTTTGTTTGTCTCCTCTGTTTTTTCTTGTTTTCCCTTTGCAGCCTACTCTTGGTTTTTTAGAAATATTTTTAGTTTTGGCCGGGCGCGGTGGCTCAAGCCTGTAATCCCAGCACTTTGGGAGGCTGAGACGGGCGGATCACGAGGTCAGGAGATCGAGACCATCCTGGATAACCCGGTGAAACCCCGTCTCTACTAAAAAGTACAAAAAATTAGCTGGGCGAGGTGGCGGGTGCCTGTAGTCCCAGCTACTCGGGAGGCTGAGGCAGGAGAATGGCGTAAACCCGGGAGGTGGAGCTTGCAGTGAGCTGAGATCCGGCCACTGCACTCCAGCCTGGGCTAAGTGCTGACTCCGTCTCAAAAAAAAAAAAAAAAGAAAAAGAAATGATTTTTTTAGTTTTGAAAAAAAAACTTGATTCCTGAACTTTTCTATTTTAACTTTTTTGGACCATGGTTGGCCACAGATTTACTGAAAACATAGAAAGAAAATTACAGATAAAGGGGACTACTGTATTAAAAAAAAAAAAAAAAAAGAAAAGAAATATTTTTAGTTTTGAAAAAAACTTACGATTCCTGAACTTTTCTATTTAATATTTTTGGACCATGGTTGGCCACCAGGTTACTGAAAACATAGAAAGAAAATTACAGATAAAGGGGGACTACTGTATTAGAGTTTTTTAAAAATATATTTTAAAATTGTTTGTAGAGATGGGGTCTCACTATGTTGCCCAAACTGGCCTTGAACTCCTGGGTTCAAGAGCCTCCCATCTCCACCTCCCAAAGTGTTGGGATTACGGGCATGAGCCACTGTGCCCAGCTTAAGAGTTTTTAATTGACAAATAATAATTGTACATATTTATAGGGTACAGAATATTTGATTTTATCTACTAGTGTGTGTTTTTTTTTTTCTTTTGAGATGGAGTTTCACTCTTGTTGCCCAGGCAGGAGTGCAATGGTGCAATCTTGGCTCACTGCAGTCTCCACCTCCCAGGTTCAAGTGGTGCTCCTGCCTCAGCCTCCCGAGTAGCTGGGATTACAGGCACATGCCACCACACCTGGCTAATTTTTGTATTTTTAGTAGAGACAGGGTTTCACCATGCTGGCCAGACTGGTCTAGAACTCCTGACCTCGTGATCTGCCTGCCTCCCAAAGCACTGGGATTATAGGCATGAGCCACCGCACCCAACAAATATATTTTTATTGAGATACAACACGATTTGGTGGCATTTAGTAAATTCACAATATGTTGTAAGCATCACCTCTATCTCATTCCAAAACATTTTTATCATACTGAGAAGGAAACCCAGTTTACATTCAGCAATCACTCTCACCTAATCCCATGCAACAATTAACCTACTTTCTGCCTCTATCGATTGGCTTTCTTTGAATACTTTTTTTTTTTTTTTTTTTTTTGAGACAGGGTCTCACTCTGTCACCCAGGTTGGAGTACAGTGGCGTGATCTCTGCTCACTGTAACCTCTGCCTCCCAGGCTCAAGTGATCCTGCCTCCTGAGCCTCCCAAGTAGCTGGGACCACAGGCACATGCCACCATGCCTGGCGAATTTTTCGTGTTTGGTAGAGGTGGTATTTCACCATGTTGCCCAGGCTGGTCTCGAACTCCTAAGCTCAGGCAATCCACCTGCCTCGGCCTCCCAAAGTGCAGGATTACAGGCGTGAGCTACCACACCCAGCCTGGATATTTCTTATAAATGAAATAATGTCATATGTGACCTTTTTTTCCTGACTGCTTTCATCTAATATATTATCAAGGTTCACCTGTGTAGCATGTGTGAGTATGTCATTCCTTTGTATGGTTGAATAAGATTTTGTTGTAAGGATGTACCACACTTTGTTTCTCTACTCATCAGCTGATAGACATTGCTACAAAAATAAGTAGTGGCTGTGGTGGTGCATGTCTGTAGTCCCAGCCACTCGGGAGCCTGAGGCGGGAGGATCACTTGAGTCAGGATGTCAAGGCTGCAGTGAGCTAGGATAGTGCCACTGCACTCCAGCCTGGGCAACAGACCTTTTCTTTTCAGCAAAGAAAAAAGAGGCCAGGTGTGGTGGCTCATGCCCATAATCCCAACGCTTTGGGAGGCCAAGGTGGGCAGATCACCTGAGGTCAGGAGTTCAAGACCAGCCTGGCCAACATGGTGAAACTCCATCTCTACTAAAAAATACAAAAATTAGCCGGACATGGTGGCGTGCATCTGTAATCCCAGCTACCAGGGAGGCTGAGGTAGGAGAATCGCTGGAACCTGGGAGGTGGAGGCTGCAGTGAGCTGAGATGGCACCACTGCACTCCAGCCTGGGTGACAGAGCAAGACTCTATCTCAAAAAGAAAAAGAAAAAAGAGGCCAAGCATGGTGGCTCACGCCTGTAATCCTAACACTTTGGGAGGCCAAGGCAAGAGGATTAATTGAAGTCAGGAGTTCGAGAACAGCCTGGCCAACATGGTGAAACTCCGTCTCTACTAAACATACAAAAATTAGCCAGGTGTGGTGGCACACACCTGTAATCCAGCTACTTGGGAGGCTGAGGCAGGACAATCACCTGAACCCAGGAGGTGGAGGTTCCAGTGAGCTGAGATCACGCCACTGCACTCCAGCATGGGAAACAGAGCAAGACCGTGTCTTGAAAAAAAAGAAAAGAAAAGAAAAAAGAGAGAGTGCTACTCTAACAGGAAAGTTGGCCGGGCGTGGTGGCTCACGCCTGTAACCCCAGCACTTTGGGAGGCTGAGGCGGGCGAATCACGAGGTCAGGAGATCGAGACCATCCTGGCTAACACGGTGAAACCCTGTCTCTAGTAAAAATACAAAAATTAGCCGGGCATGGTGGCGGCGCCTGTAGTCCCAGCTACTCGGGAGGCTGAGGCAGGAGAATGGTGTGAACCCGGGAGGCGGAGCTTGCAGTGAGCCGAGATCGTGCCACTGCACTCCAGCCTGGGAGACAGAGCGAGACTCCGTCTCTAAAAAAAAAAAAGTCAGGGAAGGCACCTGTTCAGGGAAACAAAACCCAGGCTCGAAGGAAGCTTGTGCTTCTCTGTGAGCGAAACGGTCTTAGAAACACCTCCCCAGGCCTCCTCCCCCCACGCGGGTCGCCTGTCCTGTGGCGGCCCCACCGGCTCCTCCTATCAACCAACGCAGACAGTGGAAAAGCTCCTCACGCTCTTCTGCTTCACACACAGTGAACAAATCCAAACCGCTCTGCCCCCGTCGCTCCTCACCTGGCTCCACCCGTGTCCCCTGGTCCATCCCCACAGTCCAAGCTCAGCTGGAGACCGAGGACGCCCTGTCTGTGCACTGCGTCAGCCCCCTCGTGGTCCCCTACTCCCGGCTCCCATCCATCCCTCTCATCACTTCCGAGGCCTCTTCTGACAATCTCACCTGGCTCTGACCCTCCACTGCTCAGATTCCTTCGACGGGGCTCCATCTTCCAGAAATAAGATCCACGTTCCTGTACCTCATGTTCAAGCCTGTTGATGACCAAACCCGATACGCTTTCCAGCTTCACAGGCTATGGCTCCCGCTCTGCCACAGCAAACTCATCACAGTCACCCACCCCCTGCCAGACACACACACCCTCCGTTATTGAACACTTGTAAGTCTTCTGATGACTGCTCCCTGAGCCAATCTGGATGTAGCCGACGCCTCTGCAGAGCTCTATGATAAAGACAAGCCCTCCTGCCTCATTCCACTCAACTGCAAACATGTTTGTGTCACAGGTCATGAGGACACCACGCAAACCACTCAGACTCCTTATTAGCACGTCACCTAGCGGTGGGGCTCACAATGGAGTGTGGTTATGGTTACCGTCAGTAAAACCCTCCATATTGCATTCTGTGCAGTGTTGGGCTTGTATAAACAGACGTCTGTTTCTACTGTGCTTTCTAAAGATTCCCCATTTTCTTTTTTCTTTCTTTTTTTTTTTTTTGAGACGGAGTCTCACTCTGTCGCCCGGGCTAGAGCGCTGTGGCACCATCTCAGCTCACTGCAAACTCCGCCTCCCGGGTTCCAGTGATTCTCCTGCCTCAGCCTCCAAAGCAACTGGGATTCCAGGCGCCTACCACCACGCCTGGTTAA